CCTGCAACCCCTTTCCCCCCCCGCTCCCGCGTCCCCCGACACATCCTGGGTACAAACAGACGGATTTATTTCAAACTCTGTGTCCTGTGGCCAGCCCTGTCGGTCACCACCCCCGCAGGCACCTGCTGGCTCCCGGTGTCACCCGATGTCACCGTCCCCCGGCAGGGACAGGGCTCCCCCCTCACAGCTCTCACAGGCCTTTGTCACAGCTTTTCCTGTCCCCACACCTGCTCTCGCTGTCCCCACCCCTGCTCCTCGTGTCCCCGACGCAGCTTCCAGTGTCCCCAACGCTGAGCCTGGTGGCCACATCCCATGTCACAGTGTCCCCATGTGTGTTCTCACTGTCCCCATCCCTCGGTGTCCTGCTGTCCCTCCCCCTCGTTCCCCGCTGTCCCCCGTTGTCCCCCGCCCTGCAGCAGGTGCCAGTAGCGGCTGCCGGGGCGCAGGAGCTCCCCAGGGGACTCCAGCTCGTGCAGTCGCCCCCCCTCCAGCACGGCCACCCTCTGCGCCCGCGTGGCGAGGGCCACCTCCCTGGTCACCAGCAGCACCGCACGCCCGGCCGCGCTGGCTCCGAAGATCTCCTGCTCCACCTAGGGAGGGGGACATCGTCAGTGGGGACCCCCCGGGTGTGGGGATACGGGGTACGTGGGCACTGGGAACCGAGGGGACAAAGGGAGTGGGGATCCAGGGCACATGGGGGACATGGGGACACGGATTGAGGGGACATGGAGAGCTGGGACCCAGGGGATGTGGGGACAAGGGACACAGGGGACACAGGGCTTGGCGATCCAAGGGAAACAGGGGGACATGGGGACTGGGACAAGGGACTTGGGGAACATGGGGACAAGGGATGCCAGGGACATGGGGATGAGGGGCACAGGGGACACCAGGATTGGGAACAAAGGGACCAGGGGTTCATGGGACACTGGAAGAGGGGACAAGGGGGACAACCCCCCCGCCCTGGACACTGGGGCTCCTGGGAGACAGACCCAGGGCACACCAGGACTGGGGGCCAAGGGAACCCAGGGACCCAGGGGACATGTGACAAAGGGGACACGGGTGTCCCCTCCCACCTGCAGCTGGCTGTCGGTGTCCAGGGCACTGGTGGGCTCATCGAGGACGAGGACACGGGGGTCCCTCACCAGGGCACGAGCGATGGCCACCGCCTGCCGCTGTCCCCCGGAGAGCTGCACCCCCAGCTCGCCCACCTCTGCGCGAGACGGGGGTCAGGGTGGGGACGCAGGGACATGGGGATGATGCGGGGGGGGAGGGCACCTCCTACCTGTGTCATAGCCCTGGGGCAGGCGGGTGACAAAGGCGTGCGCACCCGCTCGGCGAGCTGCCACCGTCACCTGCGCCCGGCTCCAGGTCCCCGGCCCGTAGGCGATGTTGGCGTGGAGCGAGCGGGAGAAGAGCACCGGCTCCTGGGGGACGGCGGCCACCTGCGGCAGAGGGGACAGCTGGGGACACGGTGGGGACATGCAGGACATGGTGGGGATAGCTGGGGACACGGCAGGGGACATGGCAGTGACAGGGCAGGGAAGTAGCAGGGACGGCTGAGGACTTGGCGGGAAGGTGGCAGGGGACAATGCAGGGACCTGGGGATGTGGCTGGGGACGTGGTGGGGACAGAGCAGGGGACAGTGCTGGCATGTGGTGGGGACATGGAGGGGACAGCTGGGGACGTGTTGGGGACATGGGACGTGTCAGGGATGGCCGGGGACATCTGGGGACGCAGCAGGGATGCCTTGGGGACGTGGTGGGGACACGGCCTGGATGCGGCAGGGACGTCTGGGGACACGGGGTGGTGGCGGGGCCTCGGTGGGGACATTGCGTGACCGGGGCGGTGGTGGCACCTGGCAGCGCAGGTTCCGGTGCTGGTAGGCAGGGAGGGGGTGACCGTCCAGCAGCACCCGCCCGGCCCCCGGCGGGCGCAGGCGCAGCACCAGGGACACCAGGGTGCTCTTCCCCGCCCCCGGGGGGGCCACCACCGCCAGCACCTCCCCGGGGCGCAGCTCCAGGGACACGCCCTGGGGGACAGAGGTGACATCCCGCGCCCCCTCGCTCGGTGTCCCCGTGCCGTCCCTGTGCCCTCCCTGACATGGCCCCACCCTGTCCCCATGGCCCCCCACCGTGTCCCCACACCCTCTCCACCTCCTCTGTGTCCCTGTACCCTTCCATAACATGTCCCTGTGTCCCCCCACCGTGTGACCATGTCCCCCGACCATGTCCCTGTGCCCTCCCCACCCTCAACCCGTGTCCCTCCACCATGTCCCTGTGCCCTCCTCTCCACCTCGGTGTCCCCATGTCCCCCCACCATGTCCCCACCATGTCCTTCTGTCCCCCTCCCAAGTCCGCACAGTGTCCCCATGTACCCCCACCATGTCCCATGTCCCCGCACCATGTCCTTGTCCCCATGCTCTCCCCACCACATCCCCCCATGGTGTCCCCGTGTCCCCTGCCCTGTCCCTGTGCCCACCTTCAGGACGGGCTCTTGGTGCTCGGGGTAGGAGAACCAGACGTCCTCCAGCTGGAGGTGGCCCCGCACGACATCGGGTGCCAGTGTCCCCGCAGGTGTCACCTGCTCCTCCTGGTCCAGGAACTCAAAGATCTTCTCGGAGGAGCCCACAGCCTTGGTCATGTTGGGGTAGTAGCGCAGCAGGACCTGGGGACACAGCGGGGACATGGCAGGGAGGGTGTGGGGACATGGGGACACAGGGGATGGGGACAGGGATGCACCCAGGAGGGAACGGGGACATGGGGACATGGGGAATGGGCACGGGGACATGGGGACATAGGGGATGGGGATGCATCCAGGAGACATGGGGACCTGGGGAATGGGCATGGGGACACTGCTGGGAGGGTGTGGGGACACGGAGGACATGGGGACATGGTCGGGGGGACAGAGGAGGGCACAAGGACACGGTGTGACCAGCACAGGGACGTGGCAGGGAGGATACGGGGACACAGCGGGGGACACAGGGACATGGAGAGATGGGCACGGGGACACAGGGACGTGGCAGGGAGGGCGTGGGGACATGGGTGGCCATGGGGACACACTGGGACTGGCACGGGGACACGCAGGGAGGACGCTGGGGACACGGGCTCACCTCCACGGCCTCGGTGAACTGCATCTGGTAGATGAGGAAGGTGACGAGGTCCCCGGTGCTGATGGTCCCCAAGGCCACCAGCTGTCCCCCGTAGCAGAGGAGCCCCAACTTCAGGGCCAGCGCCGAGAACTGGGGACACCACAGGGAGGGCACTGCTGGGGGACTCCAACGGGGGGGTGGCCCTGTCACCCTCCTCGCCGTGGGCACCTCTCCAGAGGGACACCGAGGTCCCAGCCTTGCTCTGTCACCTCCCCCGTGCCACCACGCTCCCCCCATGTCCCAGAGCCCCTGTGCCCCACAGCCCCGGCGCTGTCCTGCCGCTGGGTCCTGGTGTCCCCACCTCATCATGTCCCCCACCCCTGTGCCTCCATGTCCCCATGTCCCCTAACCCCTGCATCACCACGTTCCCCCGGCGGCGTGCCACCTTGTCCCCGTGTCCCTCAGCCCCGTGCCACCCTGTCCCTGTGCCACCCCATCCCCATGTCCCATCACTCCCCCACATCACATCCACCTGCCCCTGTGTCACCGTGTCCCCATGTCCCCCAGCCCTGTGTCACCACGTCCCCATGTCCCTCATACTTGTGCCATCGTGTCCCCCAGCACCGTGCCGCTGTGCCGCCACGTCCTGTCACCCCCACACCATCACATCGCCCAGCCCCATGTCCTCATGTCACCACATCC